TGATCGGATGAGTGGTATCACCATCTCATCGGGTAGCTTGACCGCCGAGTTGTACAGATCCAGACGTATTCCAGCTGGGATCATAAAGTCGGTGCCGAGAATCAAATCGACTCCGGCATGATGAGGCATTATCCATACTTCAAACTCGTATGCCACTTCCCAGCCGAGTGTCACCTTCACCACTGCTCTTGACGTTGTCACCATCCTGTCTTTACTTATTCCTTGTATGTCAATTCGCTTATCTCGGCTGGCCACTCTCTTGAGACGCAGTTTCCTCGCGAAGTACTCACTGATCGCCGAGACATTTGCTCCGGTATCCAATAATATCTTGGTCCTTCGGTCGTTCACTGCACCCAATACGAGGGCTCTCATTCTAACTCGGCGATCAAACGTCTGTGCTGACCACCATCCCAGCCGCTCTCCCGGAAGCAGCTTCATTATCCTGGTACGATGCACAGCCTGGTCTGACTGCCGAGTTACACTTGCAATCGCTCGGTTGTTATCATCTAACTCACCGAGCTCACGTTCAATTCCGTCGATTTCACACATCCAATTGCCATCCCCGCTTCTTCCCTCGGGCCGTCCTGCTTCGCCTACGAAGGCAAACAAGAAGTTCGCCTCAACTGCAGGTTCAGCTGACTGTGGCAGCCCGGCATATTCCAACCCAGTCAGTGTTGGCGGGCCGCCGAGTTTAAATCACTCGGCGCGTAAAGGTTTTGCAGGTCTTCTGGCACTTGCGACTTGTCGACAGAGTTCTTCACGAACGCAGCCAGCTTCTCATATTGACGGAACAGCTCACACTGGCCGCCTTCATGGACTTGTCTGCAGAATTTGCAGCGTCGTCGACAGTAGTGAGCCGAGTGCCCCATTCTTCCACAAGCTGCACAAGGTCCTCGTTGGGTGTTGTCGCGTGATCCATCTCCACGATTCGACTGTTCTCGTTGGTTGTACGGTCGCGGAGGTCGGTTCGCTGAGTTTCCCCAGCTTCGGTTCGAGCCTTTCTGGTCTCCCGCCGAGTTCTCTCGGCGGTCCGGTGTATTTCCCTTATCTTTGGAAACGCCGGCGTCAATGTAGTCGTCGTCTTCCGCTGAGTCGTGTCCTCCGGACTGGTCCTCATCATCCCATTCGTCTTCGGAGTTGTACGGACTCGGCGGGTTCTGATCGATGAGTTCCTCTCCGTCGGAGTCAGCGTCAACGACAGTGACTCGGCGGTCGCGGTTTTCTTCCTTGCGACTGCGCTTCTCATCTCGGCGGCTCTGATCCTTCCGCTTGTCATCTCGGCTTCGTGCGGTCACGAGTCGGTCGCGTTGCTTCTTACGCTTCTCGCCGAGGATCCGACGATTGATTATCTGTTCCACCTTACTGATGTCTTCCAACTTG